CCCTTGTATGTTTCGCAGGATCTCAAAGTAGAATCATTATTTTATCGCTACAAAATCGGCCATGTTTTCAAGCCGATTCTTGTCAATTATTATCTTTTTACTTAGTTATGTTTTTGACATAAATATAAATAAAAGTGTTTAATTATAACCAATGTTCCTTTTATTTTCACTTACGTCAAGTTGTTGATTAGACCGGTACATTTAAAGGCCAAATAACAATCAAAATTTGTGAGGTCGCATTACTTTAAGCATTATACGCGCGTCACATTCTGTCATTTACATATTCACATAACCTTGTGAAGGAAAATAAACTTGTGTATTGATTTAAAATCACCAATTTAAATCATATTATAGTAATGACTAATGATAATTCTGTTTTACAAAAACAATAATGTTTGTTTAAAAAAAATACCTTAAAATATTTTTAAATAACACGTAACTCGTTAAAAATAGTACAAATTGCTGCTTATAAATGTTTATTTAATTACTACTTTCTACGATCTGTAATACTATTATAATAAAGCGTAAAAACACACTTCTTTGTTGCCTAAGATGTCAGCAATCACAGCATATTTTTGAATATCTCTTTTTTTAATGAAAAGCCCTACACTTATGTCATGCTTTAGGCTACATATTTTCACGCCGTTAAACTTAGGGGTAAATATTTCGGATAAAAACCATAATGTGGGAAAGAGACCATAAGTTGTTGCCAACATCAGGGAAGCAAGGTTGCCATGGTTTGACATTATGTCATGTCATTTTGACATTTGCAATTGATAATCTGACAAATGTGCACAATAAATATTTTTTTTTTATAATTTCATGCGGATGATGTCGCATGGGAACAGCTAGTACAAGATATTATGTCGTGTATGGTAACAAATGATTTAAATAAACGCAAACTAAAGTAAGGATACATTTAGTTTAATTAACATCTATTTGTATTCCCAAGCAACGCCGGGCACCAACAGTTAGTTCGATGTAAACAGCGATAAAACGTCACAGCCGTTAGTGATACAAAACAAAAATACAAACTGCAAAGCATTATCGATGTTTAAATCAATATGTTTCTATTATTACGACAGAATAGCATATTAGCATATCTCCGTTGATTAACTATGACGCATACGTATTAAACCCTGTTTCTGGTTCACAGTGAAATTATAATTGTATGTTGTTTTCTCTGGTTTTTCGAACAGAACATAAGAGATGCCAATATATTTTTGTTAGTGTTTTAGCAGTGGACATTAGTATTGCGTTGCAATACGTTCTCGGATCTGCAGATTGTATTTTATTTTGTAGCCTAAACGGCTGAATAGAACTAGATGAAATTAGGCATAGATGTAGAGGAACAAATAGCCATACTTACTTTTTTATTTAATTTCACGCGGTTGGAGTCGCGGGCGAAAGCTAGTACTAAATGTAACTAAATGATTATATAAACACAATGTATTATTGTGTGGCCTCCAGACAGACATTAAGTCCACGCGCCGGGTCTGCATTATGCACTAGGCTGCACTTACCTGCAACTTAGGTTCACACCTCGACCGCTGCACAAACAACATAAAAAGATTGATTTGAATTCACGATTTATTTAGACTGACCTATTTTTAACACTCCGATATTGTTTGTTGCTCGCTTGAATAGATTGTTACTGAATTGTTAATATATTTCTTTTTATCGAAGTATAACTGTGGGATGTCGGTGCAGATTTCATACGATCCTAAGTAATATTTATATTAAGAAATAGACACTTCATATAATATCCACATTGTCTTTTTGTCTGTGTTGTGTATCATTTGGAAGTTAATGACATGCAGTTTAGTCAACAATTAAATCTCTATTAATTTTAATTATATTTCATTATATTGTAACATATTAAGCACGTAAATGCTATGGAATATTGTTGTAAATAAATAGTTATATCCAATAATATAGAGAGAATATTTATATTCCAAGTTTAACGTTAGTTTATAAATTTAATGGTTTAAATTATATCTTAAGTCAATTAGCAACAAAGTTAGTTTAGCAGATTTTTAGTTAGTTTAGTAGATTACTTAATTGCCTTACGTCATTTAATAAACATTAAAAAAATGCAACTTTTAAAACACAAAATAGCTTATAACAATAGCTAATTGTGATAATTTAATTGACGCACTCATTTTATTTTATTAGACTTACGCAATATCTGAATAAGATTTCTACGAAAGCATGTAATCGTGATATATTCATAAAAAGTCAACAAAAAATGTATTTAATATGAAGCCAACAAACAACAGAATTATTCTACTTACTAGAATAGTCGTATTGGTTCATTGACAAGACATTCTCTTAATATGGTAGTAATGTAGATCAATTTTTTTGTGTAAACGTCAATTCCTTGGTTCAGTTTCAGCAGTCTGTATAAAGTTCTAAGATTCTATCTCATATGCATCAATCTTCACGATTTCTTTTTAAAAAGATTTATTGCAATTACATTTTGTAATCTAAATAACCTTTGACTTACGATGACTATTGGAAACAACGCACTTCCAATTTACGTTAAATATCATATAAAATCCCGCAGTAAAACCGCATTCTGATGTATAAGGAAATAACTGTAATTTGAATGTCCTGCTCGTCTTGCTTTGTGATATTATAAGATCCATAAAAAAAAATGTAGTAACATTGAGTCATTAAGTAAAACATTTGATACGAGGTCATTTTCATGACGTCTTTTCAATTATCTTAATGACTCTAATGAACATTTACGTTCATTAACATGCTCAACTTTTACTTACACTTCGTCTGTCTAACGACAAACAATGGAACAAGCCAACAAGCAAACAGTCGCCAATATGCATGCTATGTTATCATTCCGCACATGAGGCCGGGCGTCATATATTTAGGCAGGATCTTCCCCGCGTCATACGTCACACACTAAAAACACAATTTTGTCAGCGTCATATTTCCTTTTTCTTATCTTAGCGTTTGTATGTTTTTTTTTATATTTCCATCTATAATATTAGGTTATTGTTACGTCATCAAAATGCGTCTCTAATATTTATTTGTGCGTTAGTAATTTTTACAATTTGTAACATAACGATAGTGATGAAGAAAGTAACTTCGTGAATTTAATTAATCTAGCTATTTTACAATTGAAGTGATTACATGTAGAATTGCATAAAGTGAACACCTATAAATGTAATATTACCACATTTAGACAAATTTTTTTTTTAATTTTTAAGGACAATTTCGTTGTATTTATTTCATAGAAAAAGCTAGAGGGTTTTACCCACATTCAGATTCATAAGACAAAGGTGAACACAAAATTGCCAGACAATATCTTGTTGTTGCTCTTGCTGCGGACGTCAACAAGAATTCATTTACACATAAAAGAGTTAGGGGAAAAATTGGTAAACACTTCTAGAAGCGAATGAAAAATTTGCAATATGTTCTACGCAGTTCGAAAATAAGTGAATTCAACGAATTATTCACGTTAACATTGAAATGTTGATACCGTTGCAGTAATAAGGTGTAAAAATAAAAAGAATTAAAAAAATATGCAATGGGAATATTTGGCTATAAGGCAAGGAGGGCTTGGAAATTACAAAATTTTCTTTGCCATAAGTCATGACTACCTAAAATATTAAAACGGTAGTAAACGTAAATCCTTAATTTGAGTAATATTACCTAGTATATTGTACAGTAAAGAGAAAAAGTTTTACGGTGTTATTCAGCAATTGCTACAGTTTACCTATAAACATCGCAGATTAAAAAGATGCTGAATTATACGATCAAGGAGCATCAGTGGAAACACCACAACCAAACCCGTAGGAAATTTCTTAAGTTTAGTTTTTACACACGAAAGTAATTTGAGTATGTACATATTTGAACAAACAAAATAATAAAACTATAAATAATTTTTCAAAACTATTTTAAATAAAAATGTGTGCGATAACGGATACATTAAATGTATTGTTAACTAACCAAGTTCAAAACACGACGAATATATTATTTGCCAATTAATTCCTTTCGTTCCTAATATCACAGTCTGAAAAGTAATCAATGTTGACCAAGGAAAGCTCGTTGGTCAATAAAATAAGGCTTTTGCTATTTTACACTTATTTCGATTGAAATGATAAAATTAATAATTTATTTAACAAATCAACATGCCTTTTCGCCACCAGTTTACCTTACTTTAATCAAATCATATTTAATCATGACAGAAACGGTTAATTTTTTACGACGCATTTTAGACACAGATTCAATACGCATTAATTTACTAGAAGGTAGATGATGATCGATGTTTTGCTCTACATAATATTATTGCTTCTATAAAGGGTGAAACATAGACAAAACGACTTTTCATATAGATTTTCTTTCCATTCGTGACAATTAATTTCCAACCGAGCTTTTTCTGACAATCCTAAGTTGTAACAACCACCTTTTAATGACTAAACTAATTTTACTTGAATACAGTATTTTAAAACTTACACGATTTTTAAATGCCTAGAATAAACAAAATAAATGATAGTTTGTGGTTTGAGGCAATCGACCGGGCGACGTAGTTGAGTTTAAAAGAAAAACAGACGCTAGGAAAACTGCGGTAAGGCAAGCGGGAGGGCCGCGGAGTGCGGGCGCCGCAGCCGACGTCACGAGAAAGCCGAGGTCTCTATATAAGCTGCGCCGACCCTCCCACCGACATCACTCGCAGGCAGTTGACGTTAGTTCACGCACGTCTATAGCTCCCGCGTACATTCGTTTACTCTGCGCTCACTTGTGTTCACGCGTTCACCGCACGCACTCGTCATGACGGTCACCAGCAAGATGAACAGTGTTTCCCGCCAATCAGTCCTGAGCCGCCTCGGACCCGGTGGCCTGCTTTATGCCGCAAATAAAATTATAGCGGTACGTTGGAGTATAGTGTTGTGTTTGTCTTACCTTCCAACAGTGAACGACGTTTCAATGTGCTCTATCGCATAGCATTGTGTTTGAACTCGTGCCTTTGTTGTCCTCAGGTTGCATCTGGCAAGGACGAGGACCGCTGGCGCGGCAAGGACGAGGGCGCTCTCTTCAAACGCTGGAGACGCACGCCCTCAGCTGAGCCCGTTCCCGCAGTCACCGCTCCTGCCACTCCGCAGTCGCAACCTTCGGATTTACTCAAGTTTTTAGCTATTGTAAGTAGTAATATTTAATTTTTTAAACATTAAAATTTTTCCTTTTTTACTGACAGATTTCCTTTTAGATATTATTTTTAACGTTAACAATACCTTATTTCTTACGTTTGAAAGGAACATTTTGAGTGAAAATATATATTTGTGTAAGTGCTAACGTAGACTTTTTATTGTTACAGAATGCATTAGAATTATCTGCTCCGGCTTCGGATGCGCTATTGAAGTCGAGATCGTCGGAATGGTTCCAGCTGTCGGGACACCCCGGGTCTCTGGCGCCGGCCGGACCTGGAACCGTGTGGAAGAGGCGCGCGGCCGGCGACCACCCGGCCCACAACCCCGAGCGCGATGCCTACGAAGCGCTCGCCGCCTGCCCCTACATGCGTTCCGCCATCCCGCGCTACTACCGCGAACTAGAGTACGGCGGCGAGCACTTCATCGAGCTGCAGGACCTCTTGCATGGATTCCGTGATCCACACGTCATGGACATCAAGATGGGCACGCGCACCTTCCTCGAGGACGAGGTCAGCAACGCACGTGCGCGGTCCGACCTCTACGAGAAAATGGTGCGGTTGGATCCGAACGCCCCCACCGAAAGCGAGCATGCAGCCCGCGCAGTCACAAAGCTACGTTACATGCAATTCAGAGAACAGCAGTCTTCCTCTGCCGATCAGGGGTTCAGAATTGAAGCCGTGAAGCTGCCGGGGCAGCCTCCTCTCACAGACTTGCAGAAAGTCAAGGAGCCGAACCAGCTGGCCGCAACCATAGCGCGTTTCCTAGGCGACGAGAAACGTGCCCGGCGTGCTATCGCAGCACGCCTTCGTGAGATAAGAGACCTCTTCGAGCGCTCGGAGTTCTTCCGAACGCATGAGATCGTCGGCAGCAGTATCTTCATTATTTACGACGACGAGCGAGTGGGTGCCTGGTTGATAGACTTCGCAAAGACACGTCGCGTGCCCGATGACATTGTTGTTAACCATCGTGCGCCCTGGAAACAAGGAAATCACGAAGAGGGTTTCCTGTTTGGACTCGACAGGCTGATTACCATCGTAGAAACTGCCGGACTGTCTAAAAAAGACAGCGAGCCAGAGGTGACACGTTGAACGTGGTGCGAGGGAAACTTGGACTCGCTCCGCGGCCGCTGACCGCTCGGCCCCTGCGCCCACTGCTCTTCCTGCGTCAGAGTAACGCTAGGAGATGTACAGAATATACTGTTTGTGTTTGTGCATATGAAAGATAATGCGATTGTTTCGCTTTATAAAACTGATCTAGTCCTTAATAAATAATTTAAAATAAAGTATCATTTTCGTAATCCGTATATTTCATTTTAACCCGATATTAAATGACCCTTTACTTTCACTTTGTTTCTTACCATCAGTAAGTATTTTATATCAGAGATAGAAATATCTCCTAAAGCTGAAATCAATAAGTCGAGCTAGTAAAGTAATAAATGAAAAATATAAGATCACATCAACTCATAAAGTCCCTCCAGTGATAAAAGCAAAAACTAAATATGTACTATACTGATACAATATAGAAGTCATTGACAAATTCATATAAATGTACAATTATATCTCTCATACAGTGCAGTAAGTAAAATAGGAAATATTTTTGCTCTATCTTATCTTTACTTTCTCGAAATAGAAACTAATTGTACTAAAGTGATAAATATGCTGCACATAAATAACTACAGCTAATTTTTTTTCAAGGGAAAATAATCTGATAGTACATACATTTCATAATAACGTCATAAAATCAGATTGGTCTTTTCATTTTGAATCTTTGAAATGCCAGTTTCAAAACTAGTAGCGCCATCTAATGGCGATACAATACACTAAAAAGTTCTGCAAATTCAATGCATCAAATATAGATGAATTTAATTTGTTTAAATTATATTAACAAGAATTAAGATTTTTTTACGACCTAGTATTAAAATTTTACAGATAAAAGAATTCAACAATAAAGATAGAAAATGGCCATGAAAACAAGGAAGATATTTATAACTAATTTATTATGTATGAATAAAAGTTGTTCATCTAAGATACTACTTTATAATAAAATTATAATTATAATTACAATAACACTCGAGTTACAGAAATAGAACTACGCGTCAATCATAGATAAATTAAAATCGAGCAATTATGTTCATGTGGTAGCCCATTTTTAGAGTCGAATGTCCAAATTTTTATTTTACTATATCTTTTATGACAGAAATACTGTAATATGTTACAATTATAAACATTTTTTTTATGTTTTCATAATACAACAAATGTTTAATAAAAAAATGAATTAGATCATCGATTGCTTTTAACACATTTTACTGTCAATGTTAAATCCTAATGCAATGTCAAAAATAACAAACAGTAACAAAATATAGTGTCAAAACCTTAATTCTGTCCAGCAGGTGGGCTATTGCGGATTTTAAATACTAATGATCTTGCATATAGAGCCGGTTTACTCTACTAGCGCCCTGGGCGAGATTTCTACGTCCTTTTTATCATATCTAAAGTGGAAGGGTTTAAGCAATATATGAGCCGACCAGTGGTTTCTGACAGGCGCCCTACCCTACATAGCATAAACAAATATATCTAGTGTTCAAAGTAGTTTCTCAGTAAGATTTCAAAAGTAAAAACTGGCGTAAAATACAATTTTTTCTTTTCGAAAAACGGATATAAAATTCAACCACCACAATTACTATGAGAGTTAGTTTCTTCTCCCCAGACTAAGGGCCATATCAATTACCTTATTTTATTGATTACTACCTAAACTACATTTAATTGGTGGAATAACAGTAAAACTGAATGTTTTTGGGAGTGCCTTAACATATTTCATATTAGAATTTACAAACTACGTGTCCTAAAGACATTCATAATTAATAAAAAAATACAAATAAACCTCCATTGTAAGTATATTTTGAGAACTAATCTAAGTTAATGCAGGTCAACTTATAAGTTGTTTATAATTACAATAAGCAACATCATTTAACGAAATGTCATTACTACTAACAAGAAATCAAACATAATGAAAATAGGTCAGTATGTAAAATTAAAAGTTATCAACCATTGTCAGATTTTTCTTAGCTTTAGTGGTGCGACAACTGTTGACTTTGGTAGCAAATCGTAAAGAGTTCAAAGTCTCGCCGAAATATTCATCAAATTGATTGATATTGACCAACATAAGTGTTTTAGAATTGCCACCGAGACTAGGCATCAAAAGGTGGGTTAATTTAGAATTTCTGTAAGGAATGTGAGATTGATGAGTTTGTAACGAAAGTATTACTTTCGAGAGTTCAGACAATGATCTATTTATATGTTTAGTTTCATCCATTCTCTGTGTTGTTTTCCCACTCTCTGATCCCGCCAGATCCACCAAATTTAAATTGCTCGTAAATTTCTCTTTGCGTGTTTCATTGATAGCTGCTATCTTAATTTGTGCGACAGAGTGTGACCTGGAGCTTCGTTCGTTGTTCAATGTTGCAGCAGTTTGTCTGTTACGTTGGGCAAACATCAACAGCCTGATGAAATCGTGAGCGCTTGCAACTTCCTCTTCCTTTAAATTGGATACATAGACATCAGTACCCTTAGAATTAACCATTTTAATGTCATGACTGTCTTGTTCTTTATTGGAATCCAGCAAGTCATAGATGACTTCGTTGTATATCTCTAAAAAGTTTGCTTTAACAGTTAATTCCCAGCCCATTCTCTTCAAATCTTCCATACAGCTGAATATCATATCAATGGAGCGAGGTATGATTCCATAGTTTTCTTTACCACAACTGCCTTCCATTGTGTATGTTTTACCTGAACCAGTTTGGCCATAGGCAAATATACATACATTGTAACCATCCAGTGCTGATTGTATCATCGAGGACACTTGAGTGAAAACATCTTCTTGAGTAGCATGTGGTGTAAAAATACCATCAAATGTAAATGAATGCTGGGATTTGCCTTTTTTAGCTGAACTTAACAACTCAGTTTTCTCAACCTCTATAGAACAAGCATCTAGTACATTTAGGCAAAACAGTGGTTTAGTTTTCTCTGATTCTAGCGGAGGCCTTATCCTGCAGTAAACTCGAATATTTCCTTTCAGATCTTGAACAGTGTTTCTTAAAATTCTTTGGTCCTTATACATAAGGGCTAGTATATTCTGTAATGCATCTGTCTCTTCTTGCAAGCTTTTATGGCGTTCGGATAAATCATTATATTGTTTGTCCAAGTGGTCAAATTCCAATGATTTTTGCTTTAGATTATTTGCAACTTCACTTAAAATTTTAATTTTATTTTGTAGTTCTTCATAAGCATGTTTTGTAATGTCATAATCTATTTTTAGATTTTGCAGTTCTGAAGATTTTTCTTTCAAATCTTTAATAGTGTTAAGTAATTTTTCTCTCATAATGTCTTTTTCTGTATTTGTACTTTGTAAAGCATCTTTAACTTTTTCATAGTCTTCATTTGTCTCTCCATGCTTTTCTTTTAAATCACTATATTCTGACTTAAGAACTTTATGTTTTTCCAGTAAATCTTGAAATCTAGCCTTGTAATCGTACGGTGGAATCTTTGGGTTTAGATTTGTTTTACTAGTCGTTTTAGCAGAAGGTCCTGCAGCGGCAACTGGTACTGAGGCAGCTCTCTTCACCCGTGGAGCTGGCAGTGTTGTAGTCACCCCATTTCTCCCAATGGGCTTTGTATGATTTAATATTAAAAGTTTCTTATCTGTATCACTTAGTGTCTTTGCCAAAATTCTGGATGTGGGTCTACCATTCAGAATGGTAGGTCTGTTTTCTTTTGTAGATATAGGCAATTTTGGAATTTTTGACATCTGTAATACATGAATGTCATTATTAATAACTAAGTAACTAAAACTTAATAACAAATTTAACTGATATAACCCTTAGTTAAAAATTACGAATTTAAGGATATCAAATTAATAAGACCTTAGTCAGCAAGAGCAAACGATGTCACGATAAGGCATACATACATACAATTCTGCCCATGGGCATATAGGTAAAAAACCATTTTGTGATATGTAAATTCTAAAAAAAAACATTTACATTCTGCTAAAATCAACTTAGTGGCGCAGGACAGATCTACGGTAATAAATAAACAATAACGGAATACGTTATTTCATTCAATATACAAATTCAAAACATTGAATTAATTTTAAAGGGATATCTTTAGTACAAATAGCTGCGAGTCCGCTAAGCATGTAAGGCGATTATATAAATATTTACTATCGAAGCTCAAAGAAAAACAAACCATGCCGTTATAAAAATAACAACATCTAATAGAATTTAAAACACCACTTCAAAAAGAAACTTGCATTTTATGTATTTTGGTTCACGGTCTCCATTAGTATATTGTACATTTTTTATTGTACAATTATTGCAATAGCATACAACTTAATATTATAAGCAAATATACCATACCTTTTTATTAGAAAACACAAAATTATAGCGATTTTTAAAACATAAAACTTTGCTTTACTGTTTGTCAAGTTAAACGGTCAGTTTTCAATTCAATTCAAATTCAAAAACTATACGCTTCGTTTGTGTTACCACTATGTCATTTAAAAAAATATATATTTGCCATCAGTGAAAACTGTTTTTTTTTTTTTTAAATAAACGTGTTTTTGTGTCAACATTATTAAATTAAATGGGAAATAAAAATGAATTGTAGTTTTCTTTTATAAGCATGTAACTATTTCACAAATAGTTAGCAGATATTTAAATTTATTAGATTTGCAACGAGTTTTAGAATCGTTTATCTTGTTAAGTCTATGTTGTATTATGTTGCACTTTTTAATTCGGTTTGGTGATAAATGTTTAGTAAATTAAGAAAGATAAATTGAATTTATCAAAAATACAAAATGGTACCTTCCGAAATTCCACAAGTAGCTCTGGTGTTTACTGCTCTTTGACAGAAAAGTTCGTAGAATTTATTTTATTATCATTGGCAACTTTTACGCTGTCATATTGCCATTTTTCTAATCAGTTTCTCACCAGTTTTGTGTTTGTGGTGTGATACGTGCAATATGGAGCATATTGTTTTGTTAAGTGAATAAATGAGGATTAAGTGAACATATAGGTATAAACCGTAACAGTAGGACAATTTTTGTGAAATCGAATTGTGTATTATGTTTTTTGCTACTTTACAAATACCATTGTTATACCCTGTTTATCACCATTGGCGGATGTCCTTGTAGATTTTATGAGATCTGAAGTGGCGGTAAATTTAATTTTTTTAAATGTTACGAAAATAATATGTAATACCTAGTTACTCGTAACAGTAATGATGGAGAATCTAGAAGAAAGTGTGATTAAAAGTGAAAATAAAATTGAGATTAATAATATGGAAAACGAGGCGGGAGACATTTCTGATACCGATGGGCCGGATACAAGTGAACCATCTGTTTGCGTATCGGAGGCACCACTGGTGGACGACGTGAGCTCCGCCAGAGAAAATGAAGCTCTTGGCCCGGGAGGATCTAAGAAACCAAAGAAAAAATCTCGTGGCAAGAAGAGTCATGTGTCAGCAAAAGATAATGTCGACAAGGGTGCTGTAAGAAGAGTTCACTATCCAGGGCCAAAATTTAAACAATGCCGTAAAAGGGCACAAAGCTTTCCTTCTATTTCAAAGTTTTTTCTTCCAAATAAAAGACCTCGTAAGGAAGCTTTTATTCCACCTACGAAATTTTTACTTGGCGGAAACATTTCCGATCCGTTAAACTTAAACAGTCTGCAAGATGAAGATATTAACAGAGCTATGAATGCTGTTACTCCAGAATCATCACCATTGCCAACACCACCCAGGCATAAAGCCAAAATAGATGTGATTATCCCCCCAAACATTCGAGATCCATTAAATTTAATGGAACCTTTGGACAATGATGAGTATGAGAAAAGATTGGAAATGCAGCAGAGAAGGCCAAGAAAGAGGGCCAGAATTAGACGCCGAACCACAGACAATACAATACCATCTGTAGAGTTGACTGAGGAAAAATTGGAGAATATAAAGGAGCCACCTCCACCGGACCCATCTACATCAAAGTCCAGGAAAAGGTCATGCAGTGATAGTGATAATGCTTCTCAGAAGGGAAAAGAAGGAAAAAAATTAAGGCGCATGGATTCATTGGATAAAATAGTGAGCCCAGTAGTGCCCCAACCTGGAGCCTGGATGCGTGCTCGACCAAACCAGCACCCCGCACAGCCGGAGCGGCGCACTTCTCCGCACCGTACTAAACCTAAAAATGATGATAAAGTGGCTCAAAATTTGCCAGTGTTTCATTCAAAGAATATGAGATTTCAGTATGGGAATTATGACAGGTAATGTTTATTTCAATTGGAATCATATAAGTTTAATTGAGAAATTTAAGAATAATTTTCAGAGTAAACCATTTTAGTGTATATTATGAAAGTTGGCAATATTTGTTTAAAATCTGTAAGTTTGTATTAAATTTGTAAACACCTGTTTTTTTTTGTCTTATAATTTTGTGGTTCTTAGAGTTTATCAGATTTTCTATTTAAAATGCAAGCAATGTTTTTTGCAAAGTCAGTTATTTACAATTTGAATTTTGATATTAATCAAAATGCTGCTTATTAAAACAGCATTGTGATTTTTGAGTCAAAATATTACTTTGATCTTTAAAATGCTTGCAAAATTGAGTAATAGACTTCTACTAACCTATGAATATTAAATTAATAAGAAAAGGGTTACAGACAGGTTTATTGTTTTTAAATTATGTATTGCTTTTCAGGTATTATGGATACAGACACTTAAATGCAATGATGGATATCAGGCTGCAAGTATTTGAGATGCACAGGCATCTGTTCCAGAATAAGGATGTGTTGGACATTGGATGTAATGTTGGTCACATATCTATTGCCGTTGGCCGCACCCTTGGCGCTAGATCTGTTGTTGGCATTGACATAGACCCTCTCCTCATTGGTACATAACTCATTTACTTTAATAATTAAATTATAGTTTTGTTTTACATTATAATAAATTAAAAATCACAAAGTGTGAAATCAGGAACATTGCTTTTTGCATGAGTGTTATTGCAAATAAAAACAAATTCAAGCTTGTCTTCAAAAACAATTTGTTTTTCAAAATAATACTTTTAAATAAATATTGATTTGAATACTATTAAGAATACTTCAGGTTTATTCGAATTTTTAGCCTAACACCAGTTTTAATACAAAATGGAATAAATTATTAGTTCAAAATGTAATAGTATTTGTTAATCATGATTCATTTTGTTTTAACAGTTATATCATCAGTGCTAGTTGTAGATTTTAAAATAAGTGCAATAATTAATTATATATGTTAATTTCATCAGTAATTAATAATATTTACTAATTCTGTTTTAGGAAGGGCTAGAAAGAATTTGAAAGCGTTTATACCGGTGCCAACGGAAGTGCCGAAAATCGAAGAAGAGAAGAAACTGGAAGGGGAAGTTGAAGAAGAAAAAAAAGTTGATTGTGAACAGTGTAAAGGACTGAAGTGTGATAGTTGTGTTTCCACTGAACAAAAACAGGATAAGAGTGAAGAAAGCAAAAAGACATTATCAGGCAGGAAAATCAGGAAACCAAGAAAGAATAGAAAGGCAGTAAATAAGCAAGATCATGGTCAATGTTTCTTCCCTATGTCAATGTCAGTGTTATTTGGACCACTTGATAATACAACAGAAGCTGCTCCACCTGTATTTCCCTATAATATAACATTTAAGCAGGTAAATATTATTTTGTACATTTTTTTATATTTATTATATGCTTACTATAACTAAGAAGTACAGATCAGAGAGCATTGTCATTTAAACATTTTTAAATGTTTGATAAATGCAAGCTGCTGTTTAAACAAATAACATAAATATACTTTGTTCATCATTACAGTCAAATAGCATCAAGAACACTAGAATCTAGTAAGACTAGTACAATGTAAGAGCTAGATATTGTAGAGTACACTTAGGTATGCATTGATGACATAGATATCACTGTCTTGAGAAGTATGTTAAGTGTGATTGAATATTAAGTAGAATTGTGAAGTTTACTAACTGGTTTTAAGAATATGCTTATATAAAGGAAACAAACGGAATAAAAACGATGAGAGATGAGGTACATTTGCATTTAAAAAAATCTTTAAGTTGTGACATGACTTGATAATGCAAAATACTCATTACATAAAAAGTGCATGTGGAGTTGAATGATAAAGAGACATTAATATAACTGAATTAATTACTTTTCAACATTTATATTACACTTTGCTTTTAATTTGTACTAAATACTTCTCCTTGGTACATTTTTTCAAAACTACCTACCATTAACTTTCACAGGGAAACTATGTACCGCGCGAGGACATTTTGACTTCAGCAATAGAGAGTCCCCAGTTCGACTTGATCCTCTGCCTGTCGACGACGAAGTGGATGCACCTGAACTGGGGTGACGCCGGTTTAAAGCGGGCCTTCCGGCGCATGTTCGCCGACCTCCGCCCCGGAGGGAAACTGGTGCTGGAAGCACAAAACTGGGCTAGTTATAAGAAGAAAAAGCGTTTAACGGTAATTACATTTTTTGTTTCCATATTAAAGAACAGATTTTTTTGTAAGAAACAGTTGGAATTTTCCTTTTAGAATAGAAAACTACTAAAAACTAAACTCTTTTTATTGCTAATTTAGAATTTAGTTCGGTAGTCTGGCTGCTAAATAGCACAGAAGTGATCCTTTGCTTAGTTTGCACACTCAACCAGTATGACGGATATTCAAAATGTGTTTGTTTTTTAATTTCAGCCGACAATATATGAAAACTTCAATTCAATCGAGATGTTCCCCCACAAATTCCGGGAGTACCTGCT